TATATATATATATATATCGTTTTTAAAATCTCTAAAACATTTACATTTTAAATTTACTAAAATATTTGTTTTTCAATATATTAAATTCACGTCGCATTTAAAAAAATGTTTTTCGTGTTTCTACATTATAGGAACAAAATATTGAAAATATAAATCGGCGTAAAAAGTTATGCCGACAGTACGTTTTGTATTTTAAACATGTAATTTTACATCAAATTGTTGGGTTCGTTTACATTCATCAAATATTTTAGCTGTTTGTTCGAACGATTTACGCTTTTCGACGATAATATCATAAAATTATCGAATTAGAGATTCCGAAAATACTTTCAGTTAAAGCACGATCTGTTGATCGATATTTGCAATGACCTCGATTACTCTGCTCTCATTTAATGATTACGCAAGAAACTTATTATGGAGATCCAATTAAACACGCGGTACGACAGTTCGTCAACCATGTCTATTATTTCTTTTTGAGATAAAAAATCGATTACAATTCAGTGTCAACGTATTGTGAGTTGTAATCAATTTTTTATCTATTCAATTATCAAAAAGATAGAACAATACTGTCTTTTACTTTTTCAAGTATTATTCATGCAAGATTTATCTTCGTATCGTATAATATTGTATGCATTGCGAATGAATATAGATAAATTTTATGTACAGTAATAAACTAACAATAAATAAAGAATTGAATTTATTACTAGTTTTTAATATAGGGAAAAAATAATTTTGCTGAACAATCTAAAAATTCAGTTAGATACAGATCTGAAAATAATTTTGTTGGATCATTGAAATTATTACGTAGAATGTTCAAGCTGATGGTATCCTAAACTTTTTGCAGCATTTATCATGTTTGAGCGTTCTACATAATTATTTTAACAATACAACAAAATTATTTTCAGATCTGTATTTTACTTTTAAATTTTTAGATACTTCAGCAAGATCGTTCTTTGTACACATATTTGTGGCAGTTTAAATGATTTTATGATTTACTTATTCTTCAATTTATGTAATTATATAAATGGTTTCAAATAATTTTTTCATAAGCTCACCTCTTATTTTTATGAACTTTGATTATTAATCAAGAGCACAGATATTCTTACACATGTAGGTATATAGAAATTATATAGTAAAGTGTAATCTGTCATTCAAATAATCCGCACTAATTATGCTCGTTAATATCTTGATTTTCTACTCCAAAAATACTTGTGCAATTTATCTCACTATACAAAAACAACAATAAACTGTCTAAAAAAATTCAACGTTTTCTTCTTACAATCCAATCAGTACGTCCGTCAGATTCATTCGCGTCTCGTCTCCTCGAACTCCAGTCCCTGCCTGTTCGTGCCTGTGGCGTGGCGTGCGAGACAACGACACGACGCCTCGTCAGTTCTTTCGTCGTGACGAATTCTGGCGAACCGTTTCCTGCTCTGTCACCGAAGTCTTCGTCGTGCGTGCCGTTGTTCTTCCTCAGATTATTTTCCTTGCGTGTGAGACCGAGCTCTCAAGTTAATGCGCCGCGCAATTCGTTCTTCTCGCGTACGCTTCCAGTTACAGACTAAGCGCGTAGCCGCGTCCGTTCGGGCACCGTCAACGACGACGTCGACGACGACAACAACGAGCTGCGGAGGCTCTATTTTCGCGCCTTAAGGCGCTATCACGCGAGCTAAAGTATGGAACCGCGGCTTTCTCGATCGTAATTCACCTGATCATCTTTGCGCCACGAATCGCTTCCGTGAACTCCCCACGAGTCTCCTGGAGAACTGCCTCGATCAGGTCGAAACTGTTTATGTCCGTCGCATGTTGAAGTAAATAGAAATAATCAATACAATTACGAAATATTATTTTCGGACAGAAATTATTTCGGAATTATGCATTTCTTTTCATAATTATACTTAATGAGCAATCTGCAACTGTGATCATTCTGTGAAAATTATTGAATAAAATGATATTTCCTAAAAGCTTAAAGAAGAAATCGATTAAAATTCACTTGAAAATAGAAATGGAAAATAGAGTTTCATTGTTATGTAAATTATTGGAAGGAGCTTAATTTGAGAAATATTTAAATGTTTAATTACTTTCAATGTAAAAATATTATTGCAGCTTAAAAATGTTACATAGGTATGAAGGGCTTATTTCTGTTTGACATCGAATAAAGGTCAAACAGTCTATAGACCAAAGTGAATGTGAAGAACTCGAAATGTTTTGCCTTACAATAAGTCAAATGTTGGAAATCTCCAAAATGCTATTTTAAGTTAAAAGTCGTAAAAGTATTGCGACAGATGTATTTAGAGTGTATGACCGTTTTTCCACGAGTGGGTCATCTCCGTATGTGCCAGAGGGGCAAGTTAATTATATGCATCAACCTAGATATCACGTCGGTCAAGCTTTATCAGAATGAGGATCGTGATTTAATTTTCCGAATGCCGTAATGTTCGAATTTTAGATTCAGTCGAGTTATAAACCTCGCGCATAAGCTAAATATTGGCATCGTTTCACCTAAATACTTAAGTCGTGACTACAAACACATGGGATAGGACAAATATCGATATTCCTAATACCACACACTTTAGACATACAGAATAACACGTAAGTCAGATGGGAAACATAATAGAAATATTATTCCTCCTGAACATCACGTGTGTGAATGTTCTATGTGACGGTCTCTCAAAAGTTTCGACAGCACTCTGGAGGTCTCTGAAGTCTCTTAGGAGAAATAAATTAAGCAACGAATAATACGCAACAGTTATAAGGTGTTTATAACTTCATAAATTAATTTGATATATTATTGTATAATTAAATTTTGTTGTATACGGTGAGACTTCGAAAAAAGTTTCCGTCGTTTTAACCTGGTTTCTCTCGTCTGCGCAGAAAAGTTTCCTTATAAGAATAAAAACAATGGCTGCATTAACACGAGTTGCCAAGTCACTTCATCAAATCAACCGAACGAATTAAATTAGCGCGTTAGTGTCAATTCTTCGTGGAGCGACAGAGAGGAGGCTCGCGGCAGAAATTAAAACCGATGTAACCTAAGCGAATTCGATTGTCTTGTACGTCGTAAATGCGATGATAAGATGCACCGTAATGTCACTTACCTCGATTTCACTACCACAAAAAATTATAAATATTTTCTTTATTTTATACCGTTTGTTGAATATTTGTCAGTACCTTTAATTACTGAGAAATCTCGCTGGTATTAATTATAATAAAAATTTATATGAATTAAAATTAATATTGTATAAATGTTATATATTACATATTAATTAATATTATACAATATATTAATTATAAATATATATTAACTAAACATAAAACATATGTTATGTGTGTAGTTAATATATAATTAATACAATAATTCATACATTATATATAAATGTTATATATTTCATTACCATTATTACAATTATCACACTCTGTGCAAAATATTTTTTAATAATTATAATAGAATACCGACAAATATCACTGATATCGCAATTGATCGTATATACTCCGCGTGCGACACCGCTTGACGTTTGCGATGCGAATACCACGAATAACGCGAAACTGAACGAAAACTCCGCTCGTACAAAATCGTGAACGATCGCAGCCGCAGGTAATTCAATGATTGTCACCAATGTCGTTCTCTGCCGCGGATTATGTAACGGGGCGTCCCTATAATGCGCATCGTCCGCATCGTTCACGACGAACGCGATCATCCACGACGCGTTATTCACGCCTGGCCGCTTCCGGTTCCGGTTCCCAGACGAGCCCATATATGAGACGTCCTTTCGATTCGCTCACGGGATATCGGACGAAGGAGCTAGCCGACTGGCAATCGCGCGATAAGACTCCGACGATTTACGACCGTAGCGATTTCGCCGCGGCCATTTACGAAATTGAATGTCCACCTACTGGCCGACGCCACACCGTAAGATTATCTATCGACCTGATATCTCGTAAAGGAGGATCCAGTGACTTTTACGCCGC